GCTGCGGGGGTCTGACGGCAGCGATCTCCCCTCCCAGACTGACTTCAAGGCGGCCGACATGGACGTGAACACGGATCAGGACATCGAGAAGAACCTGGTGGGTGTCGCAGCCCGGGTGGAGGAGCTGGAGCCCTGCGCTTCCCACCGTGTTTGTAGCCATTAATACACCGGCCCTGGGGTTCTTGGGCTGTTCTCGTTAAAGGAGGATGCCCGGCGCCAGCTCCAGCTTTGGGCCGTGCCTCCCTTGCTCTTTGCCCATCTAGAGCCTGAGCTTTGAAAGCAGAAGGCGTTTAACCGTGGTTCTTGACAGTGGCACCTCCCGGGCTCTTGCCCATTGCTTTTTTTCCCGTTAGCGTGAGGGAGGGAGAACGTTCTCCCTATGTTTCCACCCGGTGCTGCAGGACAAGATGATGTCTGAGAGGGCGCTGCTGAAGGAGCGCTACCAGGAGGTGCTGGACAAACAGAGGCAAGTGGAGAACCAGCTGCAGGTACAGCTTAAGCAGCTCCAGCAGCGGAGGGAGGAAGAGATGAAGAACCACCAGGTATTCGGCACAGACCTCTCTTTGTCTCGCCTCCCTGTAGCGCTGCTGCTTACCCGACTGAGGCGGCTGCTTTGGCCTCATTGATCAATCTAGAATCATAATGGATTTACACACAAAACTTGGGGGATTTTGCTCTTTATTTGTATGATGCTTGTTTGACTCTAGGAGATCCTGAGAGCGATTCAGGACGTTACGATCAAGAGAGAAGAGACAAAGAAGAAGATGGAGAAAGAAAAGAAAGAATTCTTGCAGAAAGAGCAGGATCTGAAAGCAGAAATTGAGAAACTCTGTGAGAAAGGCAGAAGGTATTTGGATGGGAAAGAAAGCATTTGTGGGGGAGGCATTGCTTAACCCTGATGTACACCTGATTAAGTGAAACAGGGCCACTGGAAGCAGTGAGTGTTTTGGTGAGTGGTTTTGGACAGACCTGTTTGGTTCTGGATGGATCTGCCCCAGACACAGCACCAGTGGTTTACAGAGCTCTCCAGATGAGTTTGGGGCAGCGGGTCACGGCTTTGCTGGTTCAGTGTACGGGTGGACAGTGCTTGGCAAGGGCAACATGCAGCTCAGCTCCATTGCTGCTGTCCCTCAGTGCTGGGGCAGGGTCTCATGGGCCTTTCCACGGCTCTGCTGTAAGATGGGCTGCGTGGCTGGGGCAGACACCCCCTCAGGGCACAGAGGGGTCTAATGCAGGCAAGTTGCAGGTTGTTTGGGCAGACGTGAAGGTTCCTTTGGGTGTTGAACCTGCACTTTATGGAGTCACCCTGTCACGTCACGGAGGGCTGATGTTCCTTGCTCTGAGGGCTCCGTGGTGGTTTGGGGTAATGCTGCTTTAGTGACAGTTCCAAGAACACAGCTCCTGTTCCCCCCGTTGCAGAGCTGTGTTGGCAGCGTGGCACAGCTCCCCACAGCGGGTGCTGGTTCCGTGCCACGCTCTTTGTGCAGTGTCATGATACAGCAGAGTCTTTGCTCTGGAGGATGTTAGTGGTTGCTTTCTAATGGTTATTGAATGGGGCAGCCTCCAAGTGTGGGGCCCTGGGTAAACAGCCTCCTGTGCCAGTGAGTTCGTCACACGTGGGTTCAGGGCTGGTGATAACCCCTTTGTAGCTGCTGACTCCATTTCTCCTTTCTCCCCCGTGCAGGTTGCTGAAGGAGCAGGAGGAGAAGGAGAACAAGATCGCGTCTCTGATTGCAGAGCAGTCCGATGAGAAGTGAGGCTCTTCCCCCGTTAACATTGTTGGGTTCTCTTTTCCTGCCACTCACTTGGCCTCAGAGACAATCCGATGCTTCAGGCTGATGCTGCCTGTGGGCTACAGAGAGCACTCTAACAGTGCTGTCTGGGGTTTATCTCCTCCTCCAGCAGCCCTCTCTCTGCACTAAATCCTCTTTGATCCTGCTCACAAGCAGGCCTCAGATACTTGTGACATAAAGATCCCATAGGATTAGAGTTCGTGCTCAGGGGGTTGACTTGGCTGTAACTGCTACCTCTGAGTTTCAGCTTCCCAAAGTCAGGGCACACCTATTCTCTGCGTGCTCCCCACAGCTGCCCAAATGCTCTGAACTCTGGCACGCTCGGCTGTGTTAAAGCTGGGTAGAGAAGCTCCATATCAGGGGGAGTTGCTCAGCTCTCCTGTTCCACACCATTCCAGCGCCTGAGCTGGCTCGTTCTGTTCCTGTCTGCAGGCAGCTGTGGGAGATGGAGCTGGATAAGCTGAAGAACCAGCACAATGAAATCAATAGGAACATTCTTGAGGAGACAGAACGGGCCTGGAAAGCAGAGGTGAGTAGGTGATGTCTTACCTGCAAACAGATGAAGAGGGTCTTTCTGAGATCCTGTTTCGTTAATGAATGATTGTGTGAAATGAGAAGGAGTTGAGGGTGAGGCTGCAGGACAAGAGAAGGGATAAACAAGTATCTGAACCTGGAGCGGTTCCCAGTGCACTCCGCATGGCTCAGTGAGGAGGTGATGGTCTGGCAGCAAGAAATGAGGGAGCACAAGAACTGCTCCTCATGTGGGGCCTCTCTCTGCTAGATCCTGTCCCTGGAGAGCCGGAAAGAGCTGCTGGTGTTGAAACTAGAAGAGGCAGAAAAGGAAGCAGAGCTGCACCTCACCTACCTCAAGTAAGTCCGTGCAGCCTCAGAAATGGCAGGTACCTCACGTGTCCCTGTGTGCCCATCTCCTTGTCCTCTGCCTACACTGGAGGTTTGACTGAAATCAAGGTTTCCCATGGTTGGCTTACTAACTTAATGTGATTCAGTAATGTCACAAAGCAAGAGTACGTGGGGCTCTGCTTATTCCCTATTGCTGTGCTCCAGACAGCGCTGTAGGCACAGTGTTGGCTCCCGTGTCCATGTGTCTGACCACCAGCTCGGTGCACTCTGGTAGCACCACACACTCTCCCCTTGCAGGGTTCCTCAGTGGGGTGTGAGCCTCTCTTCCTGCCACCCGAGGAGGGGGATGCAGGAGGCTTTGGGGGTGACCTGCTCCCGCTGTGCTGCCAGGGAGAGCACGGTGCCAGTGGGAAAGTGTAGCTGTGCTTGCAGGTCTGCGCCACCCACACTGGAGACCATGAGGCCGAAGCAGGAGTGGGAGATGAGGCTCAACAGGATACGAATGACCAAGGAAAGCGTCCGAGTAGGTCCCAGCCTGACAGCGAGCAGTTCTTCACACGGACACTACTCTGCTTGTAGCTACAACCCTCTTTGGGAGAGGACCAAGATGCATGTCCAAAAGCCTGGCACTGCCTTTGCAAGCAGCAGCAGAGATTGTCTGCCTCCAGCTTCAGGCTCACGTGTGTGGACAAGCCCCAGCGGGGATGAACGCTTTGAGTTAATGGCAGAGGCAGTTACTCTGTTTCTCCTGCCAGGTCCTTTTCATTCTCTTGACTCCTGTGGATCCAAAGGGTGTCCACTGTAGGGCCTGCAGCCGTTCTGGGGCTGGGGGTGCTCTGCCCAGGTGGCGGAATCTGCCTGTTCAAGGCACGCAGTGCCCAAAACCTGCTCAGGCAGGGGCTTCCCTAAGCATGTTTGTTTCTTTCCTCTGTGCTAGGATCAGTTCAACGATCACATTCAGATGGTGAGGAACGGAACCAAGCTGAGCAGCCTCCCGCAGATCCCCACACCAACGCTGCCCCCTCCACCCTCAGAGGTGAGTGTCGCTCCAGCCCCGCACAGATGGGTTTGTGCTGCAGGGAGGTCACTGTGACACTCAGGCCTGTAGCTGGCTCTGCCTGTGCTGTGTGCGTTGATGGAGACTGGGGGGGAATTGTGCCTTCTGGAGGCCTGTGCTTGACCCTGTCTGTCTGGATCTCCCTGCAGAGGAGGGGAAGGGTTCCTTCCTCTTGCCTTCAGGAGCAGGGCCACCAGCGCTTGTGGTTCAGCCCCTCTCCCATCTGGCTGGGGAGGAGGGCACTTGGCTCTGCTTTCAGATGGGTTTATTCTAACCAGCCTTTTCCTCTCCCCTTGTTTTTCTTTCTCAGACAGATTTCATGCTGACGGCATTCCAGCCCAACCCATCCCTTACTCCCAGGCTCCCGTTCCCCATCGGACCAGTCCCCGTGCCCATGGTCATGCCGAGCGCTGATCCCCGCGCGCTCTCCTTTCCCCTCCTGAACCCTGCCATCTCCAGGCCCAACCAGCCCTCCCCTCCGCTGCCCACTTCCCAGGGAAGGAACAGCCCCGTGGTGGCCTCGCTTATGGGCACGCACAG